AAAAGTGAATTTTCGCGAATTTCAAAATGTCTATGCGACAAAAAAGTCATCGTAAAGAGACGTGAGTAGGACCAAACGACGCAGAAAAATCAGGCGATTCCAACAATGTATACAACCTGTTACAAAACTAACCAAAAAAAAGAATATTTTTCATTATCATCAGTCGATGAAATAATCACATCACTAGTCTAGGTCAGGTGCTGGCCACTACCTGGCGAACAAAGTCCGCTTCGGCGTACATTGCTGGTTGACTTAGTTTCTTGTATTGATGACATTCATGTAATAACCAGCAATGTAGACCGAACTGCGTTTCGCCGCGTCGGTAACTTCATTTGAACTTTGAGCTGTCAAAATTAGTGCTGCGATGCCACGATTAAAAATAAGTGTAATTTAATAAAAAAATATTTTTTTCGTAGTTTTCAAAAACGATACTACTGCTCTAATTTTTTGTGAATCGACTCTTTGCAACGGACCTTTCCACACCCTTTCAGCTTTATTGGTTGTTTTGTAACACGTTGTATAACTCAATTTGGCCAAAAATGTCGCTTAGATAATTTTGCCTTTCAAGCGTCGATGTAATTTTAACTGAATCTGAAAATGAAACTATTTGATTTGAGCTAGGGTGCTAATAAATTCTTAATAATCGCGGACAACTTCCTACCAATCATAGACAACCAACTCATCAAAACATACATAGTCAAGCATTATAATTTATGCCACATATTTTATAATTTTATATTAATATTAATAATAAATAAATACAGATTAAAATTAATTTTATTACGTCTTGTTTCTCCGACAGCATGGTTTGGCTGCGCCTCGGACTCCGACACCACGCGACTGCGCACATGCCAAATGTCTTTGTCAAAACTATACATTTCGAAATGTCACAATCACTTTTATTAATTATTCCATTATTTCATAGCACAACGTTAAGATGTCATCACTTGTTAAACTTCAATCGTACACTGTTGAAAAGATATTGTAGGTTTAGTTTATCTATAGTACAGGTTATCAAAGTTCAACTTATTTCAGAATCGTGCGTGAGTTAACTGTTTATTTCATTCGAAATTACTGTTCGATAAGCAAATAACAATAATGAAAAAATGAGAACTCAACTACGCTAAAATTAATAAATATTTTTATCAACACAATATCAATAATTGTTAACAACAATTATTAACACTGTAATATACGGTAAGATTATGAAATAGTGCAGCTTAAACATTTTATATTTCGTTTATATTGCGTAAAATGTTAAAATGTACGTATAATTTAAGGGTTTTATTATATGAATCCACTTTGGCTTTTAATCTGTCAATAGTTCTAGCAGACGGATCTAATAAGTCAATCAGATTGAAGCTTACTCATAATCAGTTGGAATGGAAGTGGTTGTCAGATTTAGTGCTAACAAGCAAGCACGCTAATTGGATTTTGTCATATCATAAGATGCTAAGTAATTATTGCAAATTATCAATATTTGGGCCTTATAAACAAAATATTTCAAAATGCACACACTTTGTATTGTAATAAACATTTACATAACATTGAGTAATAAAACAACTATTCAATGTAGATAAGGTAAACGTTTATCGCCCAAATATTTATAATTATTAGTACATTAATGAAAATAACATTTATTACTAGAACTACCAATAGTAAAACAGTAAAAATATTTGCCCTTAATTGATTAATCTATCAGGAACTTTGCAGTGCTTTAATAGCATGGTAGCAAAATACTTTCTATACCATCCAACTCGAGTGGAAAATTAAATTGTCGTTATCAATCTACTTATGGCATCGCTTGCTAATAAATTATAGTCCCTTAAGAACCTGAAGCTCCTTGCATGACATCATAATTCCGTCGTAAATTGACCAAGACGATATATTGAGCCGCGCCTTACTTCCATCCTACTTATTAGGTCAGTAAATGGGATGGTGTTTACAGTAACATATTCTTTTCAGTCAGTATGTATGTTATATACCTAGTTCCTAAAGATCAGCATAAGTAAATATCAATAAGCCTATCCTAATCTTAAATTATTGTCTATAATATTTTTAATATATATTTTTTAATATTTGACTTCCAATAATCAAAAAGGTATAAACAAGGATTATTTAGTTTCTAATAATATGTAGTAATAATAATAAAACAGTTTGCTATATAGTCTTCTGTACAGACAACAAAACATTATAATTTGAACCTATAAATAGGACAATTTGACGTCATTATTTGCTCGGCTGTTTACCATTGTTCGCATAAGACAAACATCAAATGGTATTCAGCGTTTTACGAGTGATGTGAAGTGACTTTACACAGTGTCAATATCAACACACAAAATTCCATTGACTTTGATGATAAATTAAGTAAACCTAGTTACATAAAATATTAGGTCATTAGAGCTTTACTTAATTACAAAGTGTAATTAAGACCTATGTGTATATTTTGCATATATGTTTTTTTCTGTTAACATAATTCGTAGTAATTTGAGAAGTGAGAAGATTTGATATAACTCCAAATAGGTATAGAAATCTTCTACCCAATCACGTGTCCAATCAATCATATAAATATTTTTTAAGTACTTAATACTGTAATGTCCAAGTAAAAATTTTCGTGATCTGATTTAGATCTGATCTGATAAACGAGTGCGCTTCTTTTATGCGAACAATCTGAAACAGTGTGAGGGATTTTACGAACTTACTAACTATTCACAAGACAAGTTTACAGCAACATTTTACCGGTAAACCAAACAGCTAAGTGTTAACAAATTCTCGCGCATGCGTTATGGACCGAGCATCCGGTACCGGAGGCTGCAGCTGACTTTTTATGAATTTTGATTGCTGCATTACCAAGAAGTGTATGTGAATCACAGTGGAATGGAATGAGATTCACGAAACCACCTACCAGAAAATTATTCTGCAACAGTAGAAAAAAACTTGAAATGTGCATTTAAAATTTACCTAAATCATGATCGTAAAAAAATGTGTAATAAACAACTTGTACGATTAAAAAACTTCTGAGGTAGTTTTTAAGAACCTTGTTCTCTATTGACACTTTCACTATCTACGCGAAGGTGTAATAAATTAGAAATTTATTAGACCACTATTCTGAACTTGTTCTGCTAGCTATCTAATTCAAAACTGCATCTTATAAGAAATTCATCAAAAGGAGAGAAATTTCAGGTGATATTATATTATTCAATACACCTAGTTTAAAATGGAGGACATTTTTCTATTAAGTTTCTTTAAGTCTTATCTTGTATCGATGGTTTTCTTGAATGGTATAATAAAGGTTGTTAGCTTCTATCCTCAAAAAGATATGGTTATGTCAAATAAGGAATTGCCTGTTTTAATAATATTTTTGAATAAAACTCGTTAAAGCCAAACTGAATTAATTACATACACTTATCTTTATACGATTATTTTGCAGGTTTTTTTATTTATACTAAAACAAAATCAAATACCTATGTGATGCAATAATATTTACACACCAAAATTTTGTCTCAGAGGTCAACCGATAAGGTATACCCTGTCGTCTTATCATTACCACTGACATTGCATCACCAAGTAACAATGGATGCTTAGTGGAATATTTGGACTTCTGTTTATAAGTATTTCTGATTCATGAAATTAGCATTATTACACTTTATGCCTAGTTAAATTGTTTCGGTGTGACGTAGATTGTATTTTCGAAGTTAATTGTAAGACCATAAAGTACGTAGGTACATACCTATTTTCTAACTGTATTATGTGTTATATTTATTATTCACTTATTATTTTTATGAAAACTAGGATTTTGGTATAGGTTCAGTAAATCAACTTGAACGATTTAGTTCAGTAGCTATAAGTTTAGAACTAAAAACACGGCACGCATATTCATTTCCGACTGATTAAATAAGTTATTCATTAAAATACCTAAAATAAACTTAAACAGGAAAACTGGTTTTCAAAGTCACAACATTTCATAATGTTACCTCATTAGGTATACCGTTGACTCAAATAATACATCTTATCAAGCAATGCAAACCGAACAGCTGTTTACTAGAAATCGCTAACATGACTGCACCACAGATAACGCTAAACCTAAAACAAACATTGAACTTATCAAACCGGTGTACGATGAAAGACTCTTTCACAAAACATGCAGCATACACGTTATAAAAAGCAAAGAATTCAAAAGATACACGCGTTCGAATTTCAAATTGTAATGAGAACGTGGCACGCGGGCTGTGTTGGCGCGGACCGAACTAACCACGTCCTCGGCCGGTGGAGGACCCGCAGTAACTGGCCTTACGACCACCCGAGTACACGAGAACCGACCACCAGTCCACCACGCGCTACGCGATATGATGAATGCACGCCACTATAGCGTAGAATTCCGTACATGAACAACAATCGATTAAGTTAAGTATAAAGCAATAGATCAATAAAGAGAATATTTTTATCTAATCAAAGGCACTACCAAAATGTAGCACCAAAATTATTATTGATGTTTTTATTTTACATTGTCGATTTTGTATTTTATATCGCCAATATAAATACCACATAAATTTTAAAAAGTACAAAATTGTAACAAAACAATAATAAGTACATATGTACTTAGCAAATTATTAAAAACTTAATGTATGACGGATATTTAAAACTCCCAAATCACAAAAACCTTTCATATAATAATTTCCGTCATTATCAAAGTAAATTATAATAAGAGGGATTATTTAAAACAACATCGCACATACAAATGAAAAAGTCTCTGCTTTCTTTCAATTTTCCATTGTCATTGTCACCCTACTCTTAGTGCACCCCATTCATATAATTTTGGATTACGACATGACATGACACACTTTAGCAGGTTATTCATTGATGCACCGTCAAAAATCCATAAATATTTATATCACACAAAACCATCAATGAACAGCGTTGCGCATTGCGCTACCTACATTCGCCAGAGCGTGTGAGTGCGGTAACAATAAGCGTAGTATAATTTCGACGGCCCACTCATACCTTCGATAGCTCAGTTGGTAGAGCGGTGGACTGTAGAGGAATAACTCATTGATATCCATAGGTCGCTGGTTCAAATCCGGCTCGAAGGAATCTTTTTGTTAATTTTTATTTAGGTATTTACTCATTTTTTCCCATATTTTTTCGTAACATTATAAGGATTTTTTAAATAATCAAATAGGTTTTCAAATAAACTTTATTCAAATTTTGTACCTAAGTACCTATATATAAGGTGTAAAAAAATCAACTGCAAATATTTTAAGGGGTGAACCAGCCCGTGAAACTGAACAACTTTCCCCAAGGAACATAGGTCGAAATATGAAAAAAATTTTGGACCTCCCATACAAATTGACTCGGCCGGCTGGTACATTTTGTATGGGAGGACCAATTTTTTTTTCATATTTCGACCTATGTTTCTTGGGGAAAGTTGTTCAGTTTCACGGGCTGGTTCACCCCTTAAAATATTTGCAGTTGATTTTTTTACATCCTGTATATTTTATTTCTATTATTTTATTGATAAATGTAGGTATGTTATTGACTATCATTTTATTTTTCAAGATGTTTTGATACCGCAAATGTTTATTAATGATGTTTTTCACACAATTTAAGAATGATTTAATTTCTTACCGTCATCTTCGAAAAAGGAGTCAAGAATGATTCTCGGGGACCTCGATCCATCCGGAACCCCTCTGCTTGACATCCTCAATCACAAACACTAAAAACATTAAACTTTTCAATTTCACAATCTAGCTGGCAACGAAATTAAAAACTAATGTTTTTAAAGGTGCGAGTTCCCGTAACGCTGGAGTAGTACTAAAACAGGTGCAAAATGTGTTATACTTTATTTCAATAATCCAGATAATGTCTTAATTTTGATCGATTGCCTGTTTCTCTTTTCTATGTTTGCATTGTTTGAACTTTGCACGTACTTAAGCACCTGATTCACATTGTTTATTGTGCTGCTAACAATCGATCATTCATGACATTTGCAGGGGTTCATAGTAGTTTATGCCGTTATGCCTAGCTTAACTTTATTTATTTTCTATAGCATGTTCTACCAAACGTTCCTAAGCAACGCTAATTACCACCAACCATATCATCCATGTAGGGCTGGTGGTATGTTAGCAACTCTCCATTGCTAGGTAAGCAAACAAGTCATTCAATATTATCCATCAACATCAACATTAAAATAAGTAAGCTGACAAGACATCCTATTGGCTGATGTCTGATTTACAAATCAACCTCGTTTTCTCGATTTATCTGGCTTAACCTTGATTTCATTCCCGATTTAGACGCCCACGTTTAGTTTAGGTACCTTTAAATATTCCTGAACTGAATCCCTTCATTTCAGAAGTTTAAGGTACCTACGTTATAGGGCTTCTAAATTTTCCAGTATGAACGTCTACGAACAGTGTATGGACACAAAAATAGAACGAGTAGGTAGTAACCTACCTAACAATACTAAAAAGTCTAACAACTCCATTTCTGAGTACATCAAAACACAAAGTAAAGAACGGAGGCTAAACAAAAAGCGATCTGCGCCATTTGATTTCAGATTGCAATGAATGAAGATATACCTATGCAGTTTCAATGTAGGGAAGTTGAAAATTGCAGTAAATTTTCGAACGATGCCCGAATGCGCCGCGCTGTCTATTTTTGGCGCCAACCTGTGCCAAACGCCCACCTTTCAGCGGAGCCACTCTCCATGTCAAAGACCTATAAATTGCGAAAATTCTCGGAACTTCCATGATTAATTCTACTGCAGCATTTTTCTTTGTCATCAAAATAAACTTTATTGATAAACAGTCGAAAATCCATCATCATGTCTGAGTTTTGGCAAGATTTGCGATTTGCAGACTTTTTCTAAGACGTCTTTGATCTTCGGAAGCGGTCTAGGCGCCTAGCCAATGAAATGTAGCTAACTGTCACTCAAACTGATCATTTTTCATAATCTTGTTACAGCAAATATGTGCCTAGGAGTGTTAGTAGATAGACTAAATCTAGCCAGTAACAAGAAGTGTTTACAAAATGTAAATTTTCGGAATCATAGCCTGGCAATGCCCTATTACAAGGAATTTTGCCGGCTGGAGCATGAATCAGCAGAACAAAAATAGTCAACCGTGACAAGGGGCACGTGATCAGCCTAGATACAGTAAATCCACCAGTTAATGGTAGTTTCACGTTAAATGGCCGGCCTTGTAGTCGCGACGAAACATACTGAAATGAGACTGAAACTTTGTTTGCATTGACGTCAACCATAAAATCATGTCACTCAAAATTAATCCGCAACTGCATCAGCATCCCTAATCACTTGCAACACAAATCTTGAACATCAATCAGAAAGATTATTGGGTCACACAATTTTGCACCTGCTGAAGCGTAAATTAGAACTTTCCAGATATGCGTTCCAGGAGTTACAGAACGCTACCGCGCGGGAACTCGCACCGTACGTCAATTTGCGCGCCAAAAAAGCTAACCTCAATTTTGATTTTTCTTTTTTTTTCACTGTATTTTCACAATTTCAGTTCGTTTGCTTTTATTTTCGGAGCGAATGTTGTTGTACAATGTTAGAGGCAGACTGAGCGCGCGGCTGGCACGGCCTCACGCTTTGTATTTTAGCACAATCAGAGCTGCGACGTCACCAAGACGTTACGGTAAACGCAGATCTATTATGGCTTTGCATGCATTTGTTTACTTACTCTGTCGCCGGGCAATTTAAACCGATTATCTACGATAAGGAAAGTTTACAAAATTAGGTATGTCTTTAGAGATACCTGAGAATTCCGAGTAAAATGTCTCGAAATAAGTAAGTATTTTAAAGGAAAACTGCATTCGTTGAAAAGTACATTATCCTTTTCTTCATTTGGTTAGCTAAATCAGCAAGCTTCTGCACAGTTTTTTTCAATGCTGATGGCTATTGCACACGGGAGATTCCGTTCTTTAGCTGTAGGTAGGTAATCAGGATGGTCCTTTGCCTCATCCCTGTTTGATTCTTCAGGAATACTCCTCAGCATGAAGACGCTTTGTCCACTCCAATGAACTAACAGACCGAACAGTGTATTCATCCATCACATTTTAATTAACAGGTACCAAGACAGACACTACACACGATTGCACAGATAGATTCATATAATAGGAGTCTATTTTAGTACAAAAGTTATCTGATCTGGCTAAGGAATTAAGGACCGATAATATCTTGCTATTGCTTGCTACTGATAGATAACTCGACTGAGTTATGTCAGCATAGCCACCACCAGTGGCCTATGCAACGAATCTACAACTACAATTCTACAGGCAAAAAAGTGGCAACATCGCGCCGAAATTAACAATTAAATGGCAACACTTATGAAAATTACAATTACAGGCGTTTTTCAAAGCTACCGGTCCACAATTCTACAAGTTACAGGCACAGGCACCTGTAGCTTACCATCGACAAACCATAGTGTAGATTTTACTTTTAAAAACACAATCGAGCAAGTTTTTACAGGTGTTTTTCTAAAGAATTGTAAACTACAATTGTAAAAACCTACAACTTGTGAACAATTTTACAGGTCATCTGACCTAGGTAATTATCTAACAAGTGTAAGATTTCTGCTTAAACATCTATCCAAGAGGTCAAAGATTGCTTAAAATAAGTTTCTTGTCTAATTATTGTCCTTGAATTGTTAAATAAAACAAAATTACGTCTTCAATTGCAAATTTTTAGTTCACTTTTGGTAGAGGTTTTAAAAATTAATTCTAGAGTATTTATAGAATCAAAACATCACAGAAGGCGTTTCTTTTTCTTCTTGAACGGCGCAAAAGCAACCTTGCTTGGCTTCATTTTAAACCGATTTTAAAAAAAGGAGGTTCTTTATTTGTTGTAGAGTTCTTTTACTCAATGTTAAAGTCGGTTCTAAAGGTTTTTAAACTTCAATATCATGTTAATTAGGAATAATTCGCTTTTGTAAGCTATACCAAAAGATTTCTTTTTCATCGAAATAAACATATCAGTTTAATATTTTGTTTATTTTGTTAATATTTTCAGAAACTTTCACATTTACACAGATCACTATCACATTGGCATTGAATTTGAGTGAATGAATTGAATGAATCGATAGTGTTGTACTTAAACTTGTTAAGTTTACCTGTAATCGAGATTTTGGTGAAGTATTGACAATGGTAGCTTTACAAGTGTCTTCGTAAAACGCCTGTAGCCTGTAAATTGTAACTACAAGTGTGCTACAGGCAGATTTTCACCTGTAATTGTAGGATTGTAATTGTACTTTCGTAACACAGGGCCCAGCAATCAGCATAAGTAGATCTGTAAGAAAAATTACATGCCTTGTTGAAAAAAAGATTTTCTTATACGTTACCGGTAGCAACAGACGTAAATAACATATTTTTTACCTATCAATAGATTAGATAACGCAGATCTATACATCCTAGGAATGTTCTCTTATCAAACATCTAGATCAGCTACACACACCTGTCCTATCTACAACTTGAAGGAATCGAACTTTATTTAATACGCATTTGACCCAGTTATAAATACCTAAACGAAAAATGCTGCATGCACCAGCAAGTTTTCCATCATAAAGACTACAAATCAAATGGCCACATATATGGGATGGCATAAAGCAGAAGATAGTCACTTCAATCACGGTAGATTGCTTCATTATAAATAACCATGGGTCTTCTGTAGCAAAGCCGCTAGCCAGAGCCGCTACTTTTGCTGGTTTAGAACTTATTTTATCAGGTAGGTACTTTGATTAAGTAAATTGTAGGGACATATTAATCTTTTTTTAGTTAGGCTAGGTACTTACTTCGTGTGCTTAATCAGGAATCATGATTTGGTGATGATAAGATACGATAAATATTATATAAGAATGAGTACCTACTGAAGCGTGCTATCACAACTCTATAGTCATGTCAACATACACACTGTTGGTAATGTGCTAAGGTAAAGTAAAAGATGTGTTAAAAGACAAAAAAGTGCGATAATTTTAAAGTAGAATTTTGCTGTAAAAATCCGCCATATTGAATCCATATTTTTTTTTATATAGCCAGTGTCACTCGCGCTGCTGAGACGAATCTAACGACACCTCATATG